ACCCACTGAGAGCCTTCCCAAGGCCCGTCAAAGGCTTGAGCAGGCTATCGAGGCTGCTTCCAAGCCTTCCGCCACTGGGTACCTGATCCTGCCCGACCCAAGAAGCTACAGGTAAGCTCAAGCGTTCAACACTTTCAATGCTACAGCCATACTAACACTTCACAGGCTCGTTGTCGGACCCGGTGGTGCCACAATCAACGATCTGCGCAAGAAGACCGGCACAAAGATTCAGGTCCCCCGCGACCAAGCCAAGGATGAGGCTATCGAGATTGTCGGTACCAAGGATGGCTGCGAGGAGGCCCGCCAGATGATTCTCGACATTGTTTCCAAGGGTGGCAACGGTGGTCGTAGGGAGCGTGCTTAGGCATTTTCATGATCATTTTGGGCATGCGATGACATTTACTATCAAAAGCTTTGGGCATATATCGGGGTTAAGGTGATCTTGTGGGAGCGATGTTCATTCAATATGGGAGAAGCATCTACTACTCATCTTGGACTACCTAAAAGGGGATGTGCTTAGCTGTTGTATACAGAAATAAAGCTTCAAGTTCAAATGTTTTCATCTGTGTGACTACTGCTAGATCCTGTCTTCGAAGAGCAAGACCTCTTTTGTCATACTGGATTATCAGCTGAAGTATTCGCCTGATGTTTGATAATTCCGAGAGGGTATCTAGCCTACACTATGATGCTGCCTTCTCTGCCCTTCCCTTTGTCTTGCCATACGCTCCACCAGCCAACTTCCGCATCTCCAGCGCCCTCTTATACGGCGGCGCAGTAGGCGGCTGTACAGGATCCAGACTAACCCTATCCTTTGGCAAATGATACGTCGCATCCGAATCATATGCCGACAGATCGCCACAAGCCAGAAACGGAGCTATCCACCGCCGGCCACCCTCCTCAACATCATCCTCATCATCCGTCTCATCCCCCAGATCTATCTCAATCGCACCATCCTCCCTGACCCGGCTCGTAACCTTCTTTTCCGGTTTCGTAGCATCTGACTTTGGCGGCTCCGGCAACACCGTCCCCGCCCCCAACGGCCTCTCCAAACTCGCCATAAACCCCTCGGGCGGACAAAACCCCTCACAAACCACAAACGCCTCAATACTACTCGCCCGACTACTCCTCGGCTTCGCCACTCTCACACGCTCAAACACGATTTTGAGCTGCGCAAACAGCAGATCTACGTCTTTGCCCCGGAAGATCTTGGCTACGAACTTGCCGCCTGGTTTGAGCACGCATAGGGCGAGGTTGAGGGCGGCCCAGAGGAGTTGCGATTGTACGTAGATGTCGAGGTCGTGGAGGCCGGTTACGTCGGGGGCGCCGTCGGAGATTACGAGGTCGACTGGGGAAGAACGCGCGGAGGTGGGAAGGGTGGGGTCATAGGTGTCTGGGTCGAGGGCTTTGAGCATGAGGGGGATGGTGGAGGGGTGCGTTATGTCTGCGCGCATGGTTGTTACGCCGTCGAGGGGGGACATGGGTTGCAGGTCGATGGCTACGATGCGGACTCCTTCTCTTGGTGTGAGTTTTGGTGTCGACTCTACCTTCTTTTCCACTTCTCCTCCTACATCCCCCTCTTGCTTTCCCTCTTCCTTCTCCTTCTTCTCCCCACCACTACCACCGCCCAAAACATAATCCCGCATATTCTTCTGCTTATCCTGCCATCCCGCTCTCCCAAACTTCTCCCCCTTTATCAGCACGCGCGAGAGAACCTGGCTCCAGCTTCCTGGTGCAGCACATAGATCTACGACGCGCGTTACGCCTTCGAAGAGGTTGAATTCTTCGTCTAGTTGGAGGAGTTTGTAGGCAGAGCGGGCGCGCCAGCCTTCTTCTTTGGCGAGGCGGTAGTAGGCGTCGCGTTTGTCTTTTGAGGATTTGCCCATCTTGATGAGTCTTGTTGACGTCGATTGACGTCGAACTTCTGGTCTTTAGATGTTGGTTTGGTGGGGTGTGTATTTCTTGCACTGCGGGTAGGCGATGGGAGGGTGAGAGGCTTCTGTGAAGATGTGCCAACCACTTCAGAAACAATTATTCTCTTCAACGTGTTCCTGCTCTTCCTATGTCTTATACATGTCTCTCCTCGTTGCCGATCCAGAAAACGTCAATCAATGAGTGCGAGTCATTCGCACGTGAAGTGTGGGAAAGCGCAAGTGGGCTAGAACAAAAGTGGGGCAAGCGGACTCCCGAAGGCCGACAAGTTTTCCAAAAAGTTCACGGCGCGCGCATCCAACCCGCGACAAACCTCAATCGCACCCACAGCCACCATGAAGCGCCCCAATCCCGCCCCGAAACAAGCGTCGCATAAGGGTCACAAACCCAAACGTCAAAAACTCGACGACTTCCCAAAACCTCTTCCGCCGTCCACGAGACCCAAGCGCCGAGTCCAACTCAACGAGCTGGGATGGAAGACCGTGGAGATGCCCGATCGGTTGGAGGATACAGAGGGTTTCTATGGACTGGAAGAGATTGAAGATGTTGAGATTGTTAAAGATCCGGTTACTGGTAATCTTACCTTCGAGACTACAAAGACGGAAGATGAGGTGGCACAGGATGTGGAGGAAGCGTGGCAACGGGAGGAGGACGAGCAAAAACGCTTGGAGCAGATTACCTTTGACGAGGAGAAGGTGGTAGGACAAGACGAGAGCGTAGGAAAGAAACTGCAGGAAGCAGATGAGGAGGTCGTGTGGGAGGGCTTCAGCGATGAGGAAGATGCGCCGACGGGGATACTTAAGCAGACAACAAGTGCGGATGTTAAGGATACAGCTGGCGCAACCACTACCAACGGCGAGCCGGAGGTCAAGAAATTGACAAAGACTGAGAAGAAGAAGAGGGCCAAAGAAGCGAAGCTTAAGAGGGAGGCAGAAGAAAAAGCCAAGGCAGAGCTGCCGACGCCAGAAGAGGTCGAAGAGGAGGACGATGCCGAGGACGACGAACCCTCCGATATCGAGGACCGCGAAGACGGCGAGACCTTCGGACCTGGCGCTTGGGATATATTGGCAAACCACGCCGATGACGACGACGATGAGACAGACGTCCGCGCATGGGCTAAACTCGACCTCTCCGAAGAGATGCTGGGTGCATTGGCTAAGCTGAAATTCTCGAAACCTACCAGCATCCAAGCGTCTACTATACCCGAGATCATGTCTGGCCGGGATGTTATCGGCAAGGCTTCGACAGGTTCCGGAAAGACACTTGCTTTTGGTATCCCGATTGTCGAGACGTACCTTGCTGCTCGCTCGACGCCCAAAGATCCCGAGGACAAGGCGCCCATCGCATTGATCATTGCGCCAACACGTGAACTTGCGCATCAGATCAATGACCATTTAATCGCCCTTTGCGCAAAGGGCGATTTTGATTCCCCGTACATTGCATCCATCACAGGTGGTCTGTCCGTACAAAAGCAACGTAGGCAACTAGAAAAGGCCGATATCGTTGTCGGAACGCCTGGACGTCTGTGGGAAGTCATGAGCAGCGGTTCAGGAGTACTACCCAAGTTCAAGCAGATCAAGTTCCTGGTTGTAGACGAGGCTGATCGTCTGTTGAGCCAGGGACACTTCAAGGAAATGGGAGAGATTCTGAAAGTCCTAGAGCCCGATGATGAGCCTAACGAGAAAGACGATATCGAGGAAGCGCCGGAATCTCAACGGCAAACTCTTGTGTTCTCTGCCACTTTCGGAAAGGAGCTGCAGCACAAGCTTGCTGGAAAGCAGAAGTATGGTGGTGGAGATCTCATGAACCAACAACAATCGATGGAGTATCTGCTCAAGAAACTTCAGTTCCGGGAGGAGAAGCCAATGTTCATCGATGCCAACCCGACTTCGCAGATGGCCAGCAGGCTACAAGAAGGTCTCATCGAATGCGCTGGACCCGAGAAGGATCTCTATCTCTACTCGTTACTCATGTTCTACACCAAAAAGCGCGCTCTAGTCTTCACCAACTCAATCTCGGCAGTACGTCGCATAACGCCGTTCCTGACGAATCTTGCTCTGCCAGCTCTACCCCTACACTCCAACATGCCCCAAAAAGCTCGATTACGCTCCATCGAACGATTCAAAGAGCGACCCGGATCAATCCTAGTAGCCACCGACGTCGCCGCCAGAGGTCTCGATATCCCCAAGATAGACCTCGTCATCCACTACCACCTCCCCCGCGCCGCCGACACATACGTCCACCGCTCCGGCCGTACCGCCCGAGCCGACGCATCCGGAGCCAGCATCCTAATTTGCGCACCCGAAGAAGTCGGCGGCGTCCGCCGCCTCGTCGCCAAAGTGCACGCCCGCGCCAGCGACGCCCCCAAATCAAAGAAAACCGCCTTCTTCATCCGCACCCTCGACATCGACCGCCGCATCGTCTCCCGCCTAAAGCCCCGCGCCACCATCTCTAAACGCCTCGCCGACACCGTTATCGCGAAGGAAAAGAAACACAGCGAAGACGACGTGCTACGCCGCGCAGCCGAAGATCTAGGCGTAGACTACGACAGCGAGGAGTTTGAGAAGGAAGCACCAGGCAAGCGGGGCCGTGGTAGTGGCCGTAAGAAGAAGGAGAAGGAGGCGAGTGAGATGACGAAGGGAGAGATGCAGGCTCTTAGAGCGGAATTGAAGCATTTGCTTAGTCAGAGGATTAATACGGGGGTCAGTGCGAGGTATCTTACTAGTGGCGGTATTGATGTTGATGCGCTTATGGCTGGGGAGGGGAATATGGAGTTTTTGGGTAATTTGGATGGGCTGGGGTTTGATGAGGTTGTTGAATAGTCGTGTCGTAGAGGATGATCAATTCCACGCAAGTTTTGGCGACCGGTTTCACGAACCTTCTAGGCTTTGTTTGGCTTCCGAAATCATAAACTGCGGGATTGCGAAGCGCAAACTGAGGAGCGCTTTGTGCGTTACTTCCGCACAAACACTGCATTTAGTATATTGTCTCCGTCGTTCCGCGACTGTTCGTAGCGAAATCGTACAGAACGGTCTAATTTGGTAGTCTTCTTGACGTCTTCAACTGCAACTATGGACACAGATAATCAGACCCAGCCAAACGCTGATGACAGAGCGACAAGAGACGAGTCCTCCGTCACGGATACCGACGTCCCAACCACCACGGAAGCGCCTCGAAAGTCCCAGTTTGCTGGCTACATTACGCTTGAGTATCTCCAAAGCATTTTCGTGCAGTTCACAATATGGGCACCCACCATCTACGGCTTCCTCCACTTCCGCGCCGGCCTTTTCACGAGCGATGTCTTCATCTTGGCTGAGTTGGCTCCTGCATTCTTCCTGCCAAACATATTCATCTGTGTCCTCGCCATCACAATCGAGTACCTGCAGAAAACCATAGACGCACAGAAGAGAACTCTAAGAGAAAATGCGGATACGGCGAAGGCATTACAAGACGAGAAGAAGGCTTTATCAGAAGAGCTTTCTACTTGTCTTCAGGGTAGAGAAGACGCATATGACCAGCATAGGCAACGCATCAACGAAGCCCGTCTTAGGCACTACACATCCCTCCACAAGCACCAAAGCAGCACCATCAGTTTCCTAGAACATCTATCCAGAACACACACCAAAACCCCCGAATCTCCGGCGCTAAACATCCCGTTCGATAAGGTCTACATGATGCGATCAAGAACACAAATGCGACTGAACATGGCGGATAGTATTGAGAAGATCCTGTACTCGAAAACGACACGCGCATTGAGAGACGAGGGAGCTGATGGCTTTATCCGCGAGGCAGAGAGTGATCTGGAGAAGGCGGCGGTGGTAGATGGGTATTTGATGCATTTGGAAGATCTGGTGAAGAATCCTGCTGCTACTGCTAGGGTCGATTCTGGGTTGGAAGTGAGGTTGAATGGGCATAGGGAGAGGCTGGAGAGGTATTGTGAGGGGGATTGGAGGGTTAGGAATCATTTGAGGAAGGTGGATAGGGCTGAGGAGGAAGGATAGGCGTAGGTCGGGGATCAGAGTAAACGTGGTGCACGCGTAGGTAGAGGAGTGTCGGGATGTCATATGTGTGAGAGCGATTTGTACGCTTTACTTGTCATAGCAACTGTTTCTCTTGAAGTTGCGCAACCAGCGGCGGATAGTTTCCTACAAGCGCTTGACAGTTGACACCCAGTCGCAGTTTCCCGAGATACGATGGCGTTTTCTTTCTCGCAAGTCCACCTGGGCAAACTACGTGGGGTCATGTAACGTGGTTGCCTGATTGATGGGTAGGATGTCAACAACAAATAGCAAATGACGTAGTATAATCCGTACCACCCCATCGCCTATATGAAGAGGTATTTCATCGTAGCCAGTGACCTTTCGAATTATACTACCACACCACGAGTCATCCCAAGGAAAGACAGCGATGGCAACGAGCGCAGAGTCTACACCTGCCCTATGTTCAGCCCCGAAGACGCTTGCCATGAACCCCAACATCAACAAAGACACGCTCACCTCGGAAGATGATGAGACGCTTCAAAAGATCGAGAATGCGATGATGGACGAGCTCGATCAGGTCCTGCGCAGACTTGCTAACACATCGCCGCATAAACGACGCTACTTCTCGCCAGGCGCGTTGTTACTTCTTGTTCTCTACACACTGATCCACGTTGTGTTCATCCAGCCCGCATCTTCGCTCCTAGGTCGCCAATTCCTCATTCCCATCATTTTTATGGTATTCATAGAAGTCACCTCCGAGGCCTATCTGGAACGGATAGTAGGATCGTACGAGAAGATCGTTGACAGAATGAGAGACTTGGCCCGGCTTTCACTCAACACGGCACATACCTGTGAGAAAGCGCTGCAAGAGGCCGAGGAAGCGTCCGACCAAACCGCGGCGTACAGGACGACCTATTTCCGCGCCTTCCACCAAAAATTAAATGAAATGCGTCTGGAATACTATCAAGCATACCTGGATCACTACGGAACCCTCATCGGCTACGCCGAACTCATTACCAAGAAGGCGAAGACGATGCCTGCGCCGCCTAAAGTCAAGGGCGCGAAGAGGAACTGCGGCAACCGCATCAAGAACGATAACAACGCTCTTACGGAGTCTCTGGAGAACTTTGCTGTCGCGCTCAAACAGCGGCAGTCTACGGCGAGGCTACAGATTGCAGTAGCGGAGAAGATCAAGGACATACTCGATCGCGAGGGCTTGTTACCGGAGGAGATTGATCGACTAGTGGATGAGGCGGAAGAGGATCTGGAGCGTGCTCAGGAGGCGTCGAACGTTCGGACTCTATCACCAGGTTCTGGTACCTCAGACTCTATCGCGTCGCCATCGCCAGTCGTGGAGAGCGTTGATAGCAAGCTGGAGAAGCATTATGAGGACTTGGATAGGTGGTTCCAGAGCGTGCAGGATCAGCCTGTTGTCGCAGATGAGAACTGAAGAGGTGGGTGTCGTGGAAAGATCGTGGCTAAGGTGGGATCGGTCGAGCTGCAGGGGAAGTGGATGGGGATGATGAACTAGGGGCTACGTGCACTGATCCTGAGTATGTGTTCCCCGGCGGCCTGTCCTGGATGTACTTCTATTGGGCAAAACGTAGCATGTATCCCTTCTTATCTCTGCCCACGGTTGCGTGACTGAAGTTCGCGATTGACTTTGTGTGATGTATTCGTGACTGGCCGTGTCCCGAGACGATGCGCTGGTAGGTGCAATTAACCTCTTAATAATCGATGACGTAATCACAAGGGCGCTCACCTGGGTGCGCGCGCCCAGCTCTCGGAATCAAAGCAATACCATCCTTTTCACCAAACCTCTCCCGGGTACCTAATCGATCTTCTATAGCGACATGATCGTCTTCGAAGACACGAAAATGCGAGTGTAAGGGAAGCAGAAATGACGTTATCTCGCTCTTACGCTGTTGAAAACGCGACTGCGACGCGTCGCGATGAATCATCAGAAGCTGCTCAAGTGCCAAGCATCGAGCAGGCAATTGAGCCTTGCCTTCTGTATGGCATTGATAGAATCTGGCGCCGTGCAATTGCACAGATGGTAGTCTACCTAGGCTGCATCTCGACCGCCACCTTCTCAGCTGCGCTCAGCCTTGCGGGACCATGCGCGCCACGAGGAATAACTCACTCTTGCGCAGCCCAACGATGACGTTGATCTAGCCATTCTTCATAGCAAGCAGAATCTGTAAACCTGGCCTTTTGCAACATCTCGCGGTGCAGATAGACGGCGTTCACAGTTAGTTGCTTCTGTGGTTCACGTCTGCAAGAGCTCGATCCGCACCAGAGGGTGCCAGCGTTCGCGTCGCATTCTCGGAAATGCTTTTAAGGTAGGCGCATATATTGTCTTAACAACTGGTCACTTATTGAGACTTGAATGTATGTATGCGACACGATCCTAGCCACTACTGGAGTCCAGTACAACTTCGTTCAGCCTTGTGTGCTCGCTGGGCGAAGCTGGGTTGGCAGCTTTCTTATTCGTCGAACCTTTACCGATCGCCCTGCGATGGCTTGAATCACATCTATCCGACATAAGCTGACGGCCTGTATCTTTAGCCTGATCTACGCTTACCTCGCGTACTTAACACAACCTTTCCGCTCTGTTGTCGAAGCGTTCACAGCTCACATACATTATTGCATTGGCTGATGACACTGCGATGGCGGCAGTAGATCATCTCCAGTGGCGATATGAGCAATGGAAGAGACATCCAGAAACGTTTGTTCCGCAGGACAAGTATGTCATCGTCTCGGTATGTGAAATCAGCGTGAGTGTACATTCAGATCGTGTGTTCTACCAGCACTAAAGAAAGTCTAGGATGACATCAAGTATAATGAAGAAACAGTACAAGATAGTCGACTGCCAGCTCATTTTAGAAATACAGTGGCACCAACTTCGGATACAAGGTGGTCTCTGGAACTGTTAGCATGTCCACCTTCTAGATGGTAGATTACGCTGATACCCTAAACGCGTCTTGACTGCTGGTCTATATTACGAAAGTGGACCAAGCGTTGTTCCCTACTCGCTAAACACTATCGAAGCTCTGCGCTCAGACTGGCACATACCGTACAGCTACATCCATTTGTTTGGGGAAGCCCCGGAAGTGTCTATGGCATTCACGCCTATACTAGGCAGTGGTCGCTGGAAGGGCAAGTTCATTCTGGTGGTTGTTCCATTGCAAGACTTTGATTCGCCAGCCAGATCTTCCATCTTTGGCTCATTCACACTGACCGAAATATAGGCTATTCCCAAGCTTTGGTCAACAGGACTACAATCATCCATGATAGTCAAGCGCGACGAACATATGGCGTGTGCCTCGTGGCGGAAGAAGAGATTGACGATCTCAAAGAACGTCTCGAAGGCGCCAAGACCTTTGCGTCAAATCCACTTCTTGTACCGGTCATGCTACTCTCAATGGACGTAGACAAGCTCCTATTTCTGGGAAAAGAGCTATATGTGGATTGTAAAGCAGTAGAAACCGCATTGGGCTATAACATTATGTGGTCTGAGAACACCGTGGATCAGATGGCAGATTTCACGGATATACCTCAGCGACTAAAGGTACTTTCAGCCCGCATTGCGACCATCGCGCACTTCTGCGCTTGCATATTCCGAACAGTCGATAGTATAGAGAATATGCTTCGAAGCCTACATGATGTATACGGCAATGAGGTCTCCACCAGCTTGCAAGAGCAAATGGTGTACTTCCGGGAATCCTCAGCAAGTATGGACTTCTCAGCAGACCGGAGCAATAAACTCGTTCAGTCCATGGTGCAAACGGTACGTACGCGTCTTGCGCGAAGGCTTCAAAGGCTATACTCAGGAATTCAGGTGAACGCAAATTTACAGCAAAGAGACAACCAACTCAACCACCGGTACGGCGCCGATATGCGACTCATCACGGCGATCACTCTCATCTTCCTGCCCGGAAAATTTGTCGCAACCTTTTTCAGTACGACGTTCTGGGACTTTTCTCCCGACAATAACGGCACGAAGGTGACATACTGGGTATATCTATACTTCGTGGTTACGATAGGTCTGACCCTGTTGGTGCTTGTTGTATGGAGGAGATTCATTGCGCTTAAGCGACTGACGACGAAGATAGTAAAACTGGGGCGCCGACTCCCTTTATTAGGAAGGCTGATACGAGAGAAAAAGATTGATGATGAGGAGTCGGGAAAGAAAGGTGACTGAGGTACATCTCATATGATTTTTGGTTAGATTCTTCTAGCCCATATAGCCGAATAAGCATGTGTTGAACGCTGATGACCATGTTGTTCTGATAGAGCGGATGAGGCAAATCTCAACCATGGTACAGTCATCTCGCTAGTTCAGTGTCGTTTGCCCGAGCAAAAGTCGTCTCGCTCAATTTCTCGCTGCACTCAACACATAACGAAACAAAATAACGAGAATCTACCGCTATCAGTGCAACACAATGGTTTCCTTATGTCCAGAGAAGGTCAAGTTGGATTTGCTGCTACATACTGCCGTGGACCACGTGAAAGCGCAGGGTGTTGGTATCGGCATCTTACAGCAGGCCAGATGCGCAAAAACGGGCGCCTTGATGCCAGAACTACTGCCTACTGAAGAGCGTAGATACGGCATTACACGCGCAAAGTTTCCGACCGAAAACGTCAAGACACGCGAAAGAGCTGAGCTACTTGCTATATTACACGCTCTCGGTCTGGCCTCCAGCACGATCAAGAAACGATGTCCGCCAAATGTCCAACTGCGGACTATACAGATCTTCTGCGAACATCCGTCGGTTATATACACTGTCAAGCACCACCTTCGGTATTATCCAGCGAGCCTCGAAGACGAAGTGAGTGGAAACGACCGCGCCATGATCAAGAGAGTTGTCCAAGCCATTCAAAAACTCGAGAGAAGATCTTTTGAGGTCTTCTTAACAATTGCAAACATGGAAGACGACGCGCAAAAGAAGGTAGGCTTGGCAGCAAGGCAACGAGGCAGTTTCGCGTGTAAACAACGCCGCCGGTTGCAGCACGCTGGGGAAAGAGCATCAACAGTAGTGCGCCGCACCTTGGAGAACGAAAACTCTACAGAAGCGCCCGTAGAGGGGATTCGGAAGCTCACATCACAGATGCAGGCATGTACAATAGAATAGAATGGATCATGAGTTGTATGGTAATATCTCTGCCAACACCGCACCGACGTGTAGCCCAAGACCAGCCAACAGATCAAGGAATACCATAGAGACGTGCATCCCAAGAGAAGATTGCATCCGGAATGAGGAATGTTGCAGGCTTTGGACGAGGACGGGGCCCAAAGGTGGCTGGAAATCGAAAAGACCGTGTGAAGATGATCGAAAGCGATGGCGGTACCGTACAAGGGACTTCACACTGCGATATGTGCGCGAAGGGGTGGAGATCGAGGTATGAGAAAATCGGGCTACCCATGGAGCGAAGTAGCATCGGAACGGAATCGAAATGATCTGTAACAAAACACATCCTCTTGTCAGCCGTCGCGGAGTGAGGTGCGGTGAGGACTGCGCGAAGCAGTAAAAAACCCGACCAATCCGGTATTTAATGAGACGGCTAATAGGTTAGTGGGCCTCTGCTCGCGAGAAGTGCTGTGTTGATAGAAGGCAGAAGGTGGCATGGGCAGGTGCCTGAAGGTCACGTTGGTGACATGAGCGCAGCCGGCGCCGACTGGCCTTAAGCCCTCGCGGCGCGAAGAGGTCGCAAGCTGCCTCTGGGGCATTCTAGAAGCTTTCGTAGGTTCTTCAGTATACAAAGGCGAGTAATCTACTGGCTCGCTCCTCGTGATGAATGCAGAGTGCGCATTCGAAATAGTGGCGAGGAGGTCGTTTGGTAGGGCATATGTGGCACCCATGGATAGCGGCGCTGGTCGGTGGTACCACATCAGGCAGCCGCTGCATGCAAAGATCGCGCCATAGCTTTCCCACAGTCTACAAACGGCAAGAGTCAACTTCACAACAGAGATCTCGATTCTCTCTCTTTACACTCCCCTGCAGCCGACTTAAAACCTACCTCTAAAATGACCACGACCGCACGTGCGAACGATGTCTCGACGATGGGGCCTCAGGAGCGTCTACGCGCTTTGGCAGCAGCACACTACCCCTCCAAAAGGGCGAACAACTACCCCTACAAAAGGGCGGACATCGACATTACGAAGGTTGCCACTCGCGAGAGGACAAATCTGCGCCTGAGAGGGCCCATGTCGTATTCATCAGAGGAGCAGCAAGCGCTTGAGGAGTGGCGCAGGTGTGCTTTGCTCCACATCGATCGGCGCATCGCAAACTATCAACGTGGCCCCGCGCGCAGCAACATTCCCAGTGTACCTACCCGTATGGACGCCTCGCGTGGACATCGGGTCCTCGAGATACCTGAGTTGCTCGACATGATCCTCCAGTTTGCGGGTTCTGAGGCACAGGTGTCGGCGTGGAACGTGTCGCGAGTCTGGCGGCGCTCGTCGAAGTCGGTCATCAGCAGCCGCCACAGGCATTTATATTGGCAGGCTTATCTATTTAATAATCTAGTGGAGTACGCTTCACTTGTTACTACACCTTACACAGCGTAGTGTGAACCAACCTAGGACGAGCTCGACAATTTTGCTTAGATACTTAGTTATCTTACTTAACGCGTCGAAAATAGGCGCACTAACTACATCCTAACCACAGTTTCCGTTCGGTTGCGAGGGAAGCTTTTGTACCTTCCGGCGCGATACACACAGTATCCCTGTCTTCTATCGGCTATCGTAAGCGCCTTGGTTGATTTGCACGAGGACCAGAAAGTTACTTTCAATTCAGTCTTCTTGCATCAGCACAGTGAGCCTGTGTCTGCGCTTGGGAGGACCTATTGGCTCGACTTTAGTCAGTTCAACATCAATCCCTATTTCAGTGCCTTGTTTGGACAGCGGTTCAAGGTCAAAATGTGTAGGATTGAGATTGCTCTTCGAGCTGGTAGCAGCTCAGTGGACTCTTTGTTTGAGCTGTGTGTCACCCAAGGCTTGCTCGACCTTCTAGGGCCTATGTTCATATCTCAACCGCCTTGTCGAGTAATCGGGTTATATCAAACCCGTAAGACTAAGCGCGGTTTCAACGACGATTTGGACGACTTCGAGTTCTCTAACAAGCATCTTCTCGTGCGCGTGCGCAATGACAATGGTGTCAAGGTTGGGGACGTTGTTGAAGCGCTCCGAAAGCATACTCCGGAAGTGATATCCTCGTGGTTTGACAGCGCGTCGGAGTTGCGCAGTCTGGTTTCGAGCGGGCATTGGGTTGATGACATATGGCATACACCGGGCACTCCACGGTTCTTGTTACTTCTAGACAATACGGTAATGTCGCAGGAGTGGATGGATGAAGGGGGACTACATGATCAAATCGCTCGTCGCATGAGCGAGTCGCTCGGTAGATACGATCCAGCGATGGTGCAGATACCCATCGCGTTTCGTGGCCACGACACTCGACCAGTCTATCTCACTGCTACTGGTTTCCGAGAAGAAAGACAGGGGGAGTGGATGCCCAGAGACGCGATGGAGCCAACGCAATCGATCAGCAGTATCCGTTTCCCCATCAACTGGAACCGATAGTTCCCCCCGAAACCCAACAACCTCACCAGCTGCACATCGACACTAAGTCAGTGTATCTATTACCTTGTAGCCACCAGGTTAGCCCGCAGGGTCATCAATGGAAGCGGTGCCATTGCTCGGCCCGCCAAACAAGTCAAGGGGTATGAGTGTGTCGTTTGACAGGGCTAAATGAAATCGGGTTCTATCTACAAAACGGGTCTGAGTTCTCAAAAGGAAGACACTTTCAAACGATACTACTCTGGTGGTCGTTAAATTCCAGTGCATTCTTCATCTTGATCCATCAACCTCATTTCCTCATCCAACACGGCCCTCCTGTGTCGCCACTCTCGGAAAAGTCTTCGACCGCACAGCTTCCACAGTATGTTCGTAAATGATGTGAGTGCGCCGAATAGGAGGAAGCTCGCTACCGCATCTTCGAGATACCACATGGCGTATGCAACGCATGCGACAATCGATAAGAAGATCGACGTGTACAGGATGATCTTGAGAGAATAGATCGAGAGACCCTCGATTTCGGCATCATCGATCGTGGTGATTGGTGTTGCGCTAGGAGGAGAGAGCGGTATTTCGCTGTCGACATTCGGTGAAATGACCTCTTTAGAGGAGGTCGTGGGCAGGGTTCGAGTCGGGAAGTGTGTTTGCGTGGTCATTGTCTGTTGCCGATGTATGCAAGATCGAGTGAAGTTCAATAAAGACTGCTTGGAAGACTGGATGTTGCGCAACTGAATTCGCAAAGGCGATCGAGCAAGATTCCATCGAAGATATACGTACATCCCAGTCATCTTTTCAAGAAGACACGTTGTCCTGAGTGCCTCGAAATGGGGCCATCTCACGTACATCCGTTCGATATTGCCACCACGCCACAGTCAACATCATTGCAACATTGCATACAGTTTGCCACAGACCAAAAGCGACCCACCATCTCCAACCGCATCCCTGTTTCCTCGCCGTCTCAAGTCCAGTCCACCATCTCCAATTGAATCCCTGACTCTTCGCCAGCTCACCTCCCCTATCTTTATCTCTCCGTACCGCATAAAAGTCCACCTTTCCGTCCGATAAGTCGCTCCTCTTCATCAACCCAACGTCTGCCTCGTCATCCCCAATCGTTCTGCTCACTCTCCACTTGTCCTTCGCCAGTTTCTTCCATAGCAAGTCTATAATAGTCCCCCCGATTGCAAATAGAAGTGGAGGATAGAGACGACGGACTCCTTGGTGAATTAGGAGGCAACGGAAAACTTGCAGCCAAATGTATTTGAGGACCGTGTCGTAGGTAATAAACCCGAACGTGCGGAAGGACAGTGGCTGATCTTCGTAGCGAAAGTGATCAAGTTCGTCCAACCATTGTCGGAAACCTGAAAGAGTCGGTCGAGGGTTGGATCGTGGTAGATGAGCATCTGGCTGTTTCTCGCTGTAAACCGAGGGCTGTGGCATGAAGTGTTCTTTTTGCGAAAACATATTGTTGTAATAGTGATCCAATGCTGACGAGAATGGAGAGATGGTCTCGTACAGGAAACGCAGCAAGGGAAGTTGTGTTTGGAATATATGAGTAGAGGGAGGCGGTGTTCATGCGCGATGCGGCACAGTAGCGTACAAGGTACGCGCTAGGGAATCTGCCTTGC